GCTGTGGGGCTGGTTTAGGCTTAGGGAGTGGATCAGTTTCCATTGGAGTCTGCTCATCTTGTTCTGGCTCCTTAGTACGTAATGGAGGAATAGTACCACCCAAACTAAACACAAACAATAAACAACAACAACAACAACAACAAGACTGACCCTTCAATGAACTGTTTAAAGAATCCTAGTTCGGGGAGGTGAAGGGCCTCGGGGTGTACTCGACACAATCTCACAAACTCTCTCAACTGACTGATCTTTGTTGGATCTATCTTTTGTGCCATCACTCAATCCTTCTATCTCCTCTTGTGATAATACTCTCCTCTGTCCTTTCTCTATAGAAGAATCCAGACATGCAGCTAGCTACACGTGGCAATGAGAGGGAGTGGCTACTTATTATAGGTAATGAATGTTAGCAATAAATGGTGTGTTACAGTATGAGCTGCTCCTGTTGCTGTTGCTGCTGGTTTCTCTATTACAGAATGTAAACTCTCACCATTTTAGCAAAATTGCACTGCACTATATCACATGCTTTATTTCCAAAAAGCTCACAAACGACCCCAATTTTTATTACATTTTCTCATGCATATTAATTCCCTTATGCTGTGTAGAAAGCAATAGCCAATTCCGACATCAATTATTTAAGTTATGGTCATTTTAATAAACAAGACAATTTTTTAAGAACAATTAACCTGTCCAAAATATGGTCAATCCTCATCTCATGCAATAGGAAGGAGTGGCTACCTGCTTGCAATTGTTTGGAGCTTATAAAAGTGATAATTGATACTATTGTAGGCAGTCTGTAATGGAGAATCAAGCAGTGTATGTTAATGTTGGTATCCTTAAGGCCCCCCCACCAGTAGCAACAGGAGCAGTTCATACAGTCACTCATCATTCATTGGAATCTTTAGCAGAGAAGGAACTACCTTGTCCAATAGTTGTACACCAAACCAACTATTGTGAGTTTGATGATATCCTGGGTGATGGGCAAGAGCTGGAGGTGTATGCACATAAAGTGTCTCCAGTGGTTACTTTGAAAGCACCAGAGAGAGACTATACAGTACCAGTCAACAGCTCCTTTCTCTTCAGTGTCCTCTACAATCCGTTTGATGATCTCATTAAAGCAAGGAAAGGTTATGTATTTCAAACTGGGGCAGATTTGATAAATGCTGTACCTCAACCTTGTGCAGTAGTCATCAGCAAAGACTGCACTTGCAGCATTTTCACTAACGGGAGTCCATCAGCATCAGGAGGAGTGAAGAAATCAATTGTACTTCGGAAAGGTGAAGTGTTGCTGATAGACAGCATAGCCAGTGAGAGTCATTATGGGAAGGTTAACAGGCTCCTGAAGTGCTTTACACTAAAAGAAAAGGAAGTGTATTTGAAGGAGAATTGTGAAGGACATTTCAGCACACAAGAATCAAGTCTCACATTTTCACTCACTTTCATCCTCCGCCACTTCAAGTTACCAATACTGAGCTCACCTTACGAAAGAGAAACTGGAACCATCCACTCTCGGTTCAAAGGAAAGTGTGGAATGATTCATAATGACGTGATTCCTCTTTCTTCCTTCATCGTTTCAACTCCAACCACAGAGGAGGAATTAGATGGATCCGATTTCTCAGGACAACTAGTTGAAATATACTCCACACTAAAGCTGGACTATCACATTGCTACTGCAACGAATGAAGAATTGATACTACTGAAGCAAAAGATGAACAAGACATGTGAGGAACTGTCCCCACAAAGCATCACTGCCGTATTGTACAACACAAAAGAAGTGGACACAGTTCAAAATGATTTTTTATCTCCTGTCAATAATAACGAGTGGATTAATGAGATACTATCGTCACCTTCTCTTACTGGGAAAGACTCCAAGCAAGTGCCAAAGAAGAAGACCCCACCCGTCCCACCACGACCAACAAACGGTACAATAATGAGAACAAGGTTGTCAAGCAAAAAAGAGAAAGACACCAACGAATCAGGAAAGGAAATGAAACAAGATGGAGGAACACAGAAACGTTTGACTCCACCTCCCACAAAGCCAAAACCATCAACTCTGAGTCGTAAACCACCTCTTGTCTCTCAGAATATTTACGAACCGATCATTAAGTATACCACAGGACAGAGTGCAGGGAATCAGTCCTTTCTAAAGACAGAGCAGAATGATACTATCATCAAGGGGACACCTACTCCATTGATTAACCAACAACCAGGTAAGCAGTTAGATTGTTGTTATAAGTGGGTGATGTTGGTTTACATTTACAGTATCCTAAACTAATTCTGTTTTATGACAAACACACATAGTGTGATAGCTTACAACTAACAATAAGCTAACAAGAGGTTAAGTATTTGTTATATCATCTCCAGTAGACAAACTGCAGCTTTTAACTGACATTGCAAAAGAATTAAAGACAGCAACAGATAATGTAGACAGTAAGTGATTGAAACTAAAAATCAATAAAATTATGTAAATAAGTGCATCAGTTTATGCATTCAAACTCATAAACAGGTCAATAGCTAATACTGCAATTACTGTAGGTGATGATGATGATGTTCATGGTTATCTGGTAGAAGACATGTATGATAACATTAACTATGCAATACCACCTTCTCCTACTAGCAAAGAACAGACAATAGCTGGACCAGTTACTCTACCATCAGTTGAACCGCTCATTCCTGCACACAACAGTCAGCCATCATTAGGTATGTGTTCTCTGTTTGAAGGGATCACGTACATGTACTGTATATTCAAAGGTACTACTGTACATGGAAGCAATGATAATAAAGGATACCTTGAGATCAACAAGACAGTAATATCACTATACAACACTGCAGAGGTATATACTGTACATGTACTAGTAGATATAACTAACTGACACTGTCCACAGGTTGGTGATCTATTAGTGGCAATGGGGCTAAGTGAGTATGTGTCTAAATTCAAGGAAGAGATGATTGATGGACAAATGCTATTGGAACTTGATGATGAACTACTGAAAGAAGAGCTAGGGATGAACAAGAAACTACACAGACTGAGACTAACAATGGTAATAAAAGGAACTCAGTCAGTTTATGGATACATCAATTAACACAAAGACACACACACACAATTGTATAGTTATAAACATTATCGTTATTATTGTCCATTAATGATTAGTCTTTCTCTTACTAAATGGACTATTGGTTCCTTTCTTTAACGAGCTCACTGTTCTTCTACTAGAGCGTACAGTTCCTTTGTCTCTTTGATAATGTTCAGATACAATGTTAGGCTCAAAGTGAAGGACTTGTACAGAGTGATCATCGCAACCATACACCACATGAGAACTGTCTCTTGATATGTCATTAATGACACTGCCTGGTTTATTTCTTAATGTTCTAATGCAACGTCCACTATTAATAATAATAATAATAATAATAATAAAAATAATGATGATAATATTAATAATAAACAAACAAATAAGTACATAAACACATTACAAATACCTGTTAATATTCCAGTACTTTATCAATCCATCCCGCCCACCACTTATAATAGTATTAATATTTGGACCGTCAGTTAATAAATGAACACTTTCAACTCTATATAGCAATTAATTAATTAATATTAATAAAGACATTAAAAATAATTACCTGTCGTGATGCCCTTTAAAATCAATTAATTTGTCACCCTTAGCAACGGACCACAAACTCACTGAACTGCCAGCAGAACATGCCAGCATACCCTTTAATTTATTAATAATCAATTAATGAATTAATAATCAATAATAATCACTTACCCCACTGTAGCTTAAACTCATCACAGGTTGATGTGTACTGATATTAATGATCCTAATGCACTGTGGATCAGTTGGTGTATATATATTCCATATTCTCACAGTCTGCATAATAATAGTGTCATTAGTATCATGTGCAATGTGGCATATACTTTATCTCCACTGGCAGTGTATGCTTCAGTGGTAGAGTCATTAAGATCAACAGAGAATATGGCCCCACTGTGTCCCACTAGCTGTGACACGTGCTTGCAGTGTCTTATGTTCCATAGGATGGCCTACATACAGTGATATGCCATTGCAAATTGAACATTAACTGTATGTCTCTTACGGTTTTATCATGTGAGCCGGTTAGAAGTATGTCTTTCTTTCTTGCTAATGACCAGACTGTCCCTGTGTGTCCCTGTAGGTGCTTCTCACACACTCCAGTTCTATAGTGCCATATCCTCACAATGGAGTCACCAGACCCACTCAGTATAAAGTTGAGCCCATAAAAACTCAAACACCAAATGTTCTTCTACATTGAAATAATAATAATAATAATAATAATAATAATAATAATAATAATAATAATAATAATAATAATAATAATAATAATATGTATGTATAAATGTATCTTGTCACTCTTACTGAATTTGTGTAAATAGTGTTCAATAGTTTCCCATCTTTAAGAGACCAGACTCTTATTGTTTGATCTGAGCTTCCACTGCAGAGAGTGTCTTCTTTGACACAAACTGACAGGACCCTGTGGCTGTGGGAGGCCAGGCTCCACCCAACAGATCGGCCCAGTCGCCAGTTCCTCTTCAACTTAATGTCATTGATATAAACTCTCTTCCACAAGGGGCTGGAGAGGGGAGACACTCCTAGTGATACTTGAGAACACTTGTACTTCCAGAGTTTGTTACAAGAGCATCTTTCATTCCAAACCTGAGACACCTGTACATATAGTACAGTATAGTGATGTATTGGAAGTACAATTAATGTACATAATGTATGTACAATGTACGTTATATGGTACCTGATGATTCCTGTATAGTATACACTTACCCTGCACACTAGCAGTAGGTCTTTACAAGGTACATATGAGAGGATACACCTCACAATATCAGCTGGTAAATCAGATATGAAATCACGATATTGACAAGACTATTACCGGTAATATCATTATTATTATATCATTAATAATAATAATTATTATTTGTTATTATTTACCAGTAGCAGTGTAGCAAGGTAGTATAACTCTCTTTCTTCAAGACACCAAACTATCAAGTGAAGGATTTCCTTTTGCTGCCAATCTATAAAAGTAGAGTCAATGTTACACTAACAATGCTACACCAGTACCCGTACCTTTCTCCAGTGAAGTAAACCAGTGGAAAAATGACAACAAGTGTACATCAGTCTGACCAGGAAAGTGAGGGGACAGTGGATAGGGTGCACCGGTCCGTGGTGAAGGTACATTGGACAGTGGATAGGGTGCATTGGTCCGTGGTGAGGGTACATTGGGTGGGGACCGTGGACTATTGGACGTACTTCTTGTTCTAATGGGGGGAGCTCCAATGGGCGGAGCCTTGGCAGTGGGTGTGGCTGATACTATTCTGTAACAAGATGGAGTTCCTACTCTACCAATAGGACCCTCCATGTGTCGACGAGTTGGGGTAATTAATCGGTATCCTAGGCAACAGTACTATGAATATCATTATAATTACATGTATACCTTTCCTTGTCCCGCACTCAAGGTGAGGTGCGGTTGATGGGCGGAGCTCAGGAAGTGGCTCGTACAATAACTGAGTAGCAATAGTTTTAGTAACATCAGAACTAATAACCAGACTATCAGCTCGAAACAGTATTTTATTCTGTAGGAGTGTAATCATGACTCATAAATGGTACATATATAACATCATACTTCTTTCCTGCGAGATATTTCAAATTTCTCTTTGAGATGCCTACTGACAGGAGTGGATAGTGCGTGGAAAGGGACAGAGGGGAACTGTCTCCTCAAGTGATAAATGAACTCATGGTGGGGAACACTTTCAAGAACCTTCATCAATAACAACAATGACTATTATAATAGCTATCAGTTCACATACACTTACTGTCCATAAAAAAGTCAAGTGATTCAAATTACATCTTTTAATAATACCATCCAGTATTTTACTAATCTAAAGAGGATATAATAATATAACGCATTGGCTCCATACAAGTATGTACTTGCCTGTATGCTGTCCAAGGAGTTGATCCATATTGCTATACAGTCTTTGTCTTGTTCAAAGCTGGTACAGGTTGTTCTAGTCCTGGCTCTAGAGAAAGACCCCATGTCCAACTGAGACACTGAAGCACTCCTCCTCAGATTCCTCTCCCCTCCTCCCTCCATAGTCTTAAGGTACCTCTTGGATTCTCTCCTATTAGGAGTCCATACAAGAGGAGCTAAACTATTGTCAGTACTGTGGTTAAAATTGTTGTTTCCATGACAACATATCGACCCCACCCACCTCACCAGGCTCACGTCCACTCAGCCTCAGAGCTTATGGCTGCAGGAAGGAGTCTTCTACTTTATTACCAGAGACTGGTGTCTCCTTTAGTAAGGAGACATAACTCATCCATTAGCAGTGAGGCTGCTGGTTTAAAGGTCTCTCTAGTTGATCCTTTTAATGCCGTGAGGGTCAGACTGGCCGAGACGGCTCACTGGACAATAGAAGAATTCAAAGAGAAGATGAGCTGTTAGTCCATACTGTCAACCATCAATACCCTAGTTCTTGTTTAGTTCATATTGATCAATGGATTTCAGAGAAGAGATCAGCAGTCTGGTTACATGTACCATTAGTTCATTGTTCTTTGTTGAATGTAGCTGTTCTGGACTGTAGGTTCAACATACACCATTCACTCAGTAATGAGATAGTACTGAGCAGGTGGTTGAGACAGGACACCGTTAATAAGATTCCTCCTTTTGCCTCTCATCAAGTCGGAGTGTGTGGTATGCACTGTATACAATAATGGTGAAGTTTATAATTGTTCATCATCAGGTGTTGTTTATCGGGAGGACACTAGTGAAATTTTAGTAACACAAGACAAATATAAGGTACATGTATGTATAAATAGATTATTGATTTTTATGGTTTCTTCTCTAGCCAGCAAGATGGAAGTTTCCAGGTGGTATTTCAGAATTTGCAGAAGATATAAGTATAATATTAATAATTATCATGGTATCAATTCATCATGCTTGTATTTTAGCTGACACAGCTGAGAGAGAAGTACTTGAGGAAACAGGAATAATGGCTAGTAAGTTTATAGAACATGTGCCTATAGCACAGGCTGTTTATAAATAATTCCATTTATAGAAACCCAATCAATAATTGCTTTCAGACAACACCATCATTTATCAATAGCGTTTGGGCAGTCTGATTTATATTTCATATGTCGCATGAAACCATTTACGTACACGATAAGACCATGTACTAGTGAAATACTTAAATGTCAATGGATGGGCATAAGGGAATTACAGGCATCACCATTAGCAACTATTCTGACCAATCGGATTGCAGTGATGATGTTAAGAGGAGCTAAAAATGGTTTCAGGGAACTAGACATCAAGTGGGAGGATCTTCCATCTCCTGCTGACTCGAATCAAACCTACAGACTGTTTGGAAAGAGAACTTGACATTTTGATAATCATTTTTAATGTTTTATTGGTGGGTGTTCCCATAGCAATCTCCCAGTTATGGATTTGTTTAAAAAACTAATCCATTTGTCTACCAAACCTACTAATGTTCAGCAATCATATTCCATATAGTTCCATTTTCTGTTTTGGCCACAATAAAGATGTGACCGATACTTGCTACCATAATGGATCGATACTCCATTATGGTAGACCATATCTATGGGTAGACCGATACTGCATAATGATCCTCAATAGGCATACCTATACCATATTAACCTTGCTATACAAGTACATTCATAGCATTACCTATAATACCTTATAACCTCTGACCTTTACAATGTAAATATGCCTACATTAGCTTTACTGAGCACATTGCTACTACCATATATACCATTACCATCGCCTACATTAACTTATAACCTGAGATATCCTAAATATAACACAATATATGACCATATTAATGTTTCTTAATACTTAATACCATATACCATTATGGTAACTACCTCCTACCATTACTACCTGTGACCCTTGTCTATATAACCTAATATAACACACTGTAG